GGGAAAAAAAATGAAGAAGTAATTAAGGCTAGATTGGGCTTCTTATATATTTTTCTACGTCAATTCATCTTGTGGTAATAATGATGGATGATAGATGAAAGTATTTATTTAAGGTGTATATGTGTAAAATAATAATTGAGATATTGTACTCTATATATGAATCAGGTTTGAAAACGAGGAGAGCGGATCCATGCGCCAAATACAGAAAAGCGGCAGCATGCTTTCCCGTGCGCTACTCCATACCCTTGAAGGGAGACGATGAATACGTGTTCGCAGTCACGGTTGGCCTCGGCACACCTCCAACAACAAACTCCCTCATTCTCGACTCCACCACCGACATTATGTGGACTCAATGCATGCCGTGCCTTGTGAACTATAAGCCTCAAAGAGATCCACTATTCGATCCTCAAAAGTCGAGTTCGTACTTCGCCTTCTCCTGCCAATCCCCCAAATGCTCTCTTCTCGATGACGAGACCTACTTTGGCCTCAGCTGCTCCCCGCACAACACGTGCGTCTACAACGCCCCATACCCCTATACCGTTGGCTCCATTGGATTCTTGAGTAGGGACAAACTTAGCCTACACCCAATTGCTAACTCTAAACTGCCTGCAGATAAGGATATTCTGTTTGGGTGTAGCCAAGCCAGTTGGGGAGAAGTTGTTGGTGCTGAAGCCGGATTTATGGGACTCGGCACAGGCAACTTGTCCATTGTCTCCCAAACTGCTGCAAACAGCTACTTCTCCTACTGCCTCCCTTCCAACACCTTCTCCCAAGGCTTTCTTGCACTTGGAAATAAGGGTAGTTTTGATAAATATAACAATACCAAATTCACACCCTTATTAAGTACCAGCCCGAACGATTACAGATATAGTTCGAGTTACTTCATCGACACTATCTCTATAGCCGTGGACGGATGCAAGTTGGAGATAAGCCCCGCGGTCTTATCGGGAGGCACGTTGATAGACACAATAAGCACTATCGGCGTTCTCCATCCGCAAGCATACGCCCCATTAAGCCGTGAATTCAAGAAACAGGTGATTAACAACCACGGATTCACATCTGCACCGCCTTACACAACCGAAGATAATCACACTCTGCATACTTGTTTTTTTACTCCTAATAATACCACAAAACCCACCACCGTCCCGATTGTCACCTTCACCTTCAAGGACAATGTGAAAGTCGATTTGGATGCTTCTGGAACGCTTTTTGTGGTCAACAAATCAATAGTGTGCCTTGCTTTCCTCGAAAGTAAGTACTATTCGTTTCCGGTGGTTTTCGCCAACACTCAACAGAAGACATATGAGGTGGTGTTTGATGTCGCCGGAGGGAGAGTTGGGTTCCTCCCCAACCGTTGCCCTTGACTTCACTACTGTAGTAGTCAATGCAAAAATTATTGTTTTTGTGCTTGTCGTTNTAGGGTTTGATTTGCAAGAATAAAAGTCCACTTGTGGCCCCTTTTAATTTACTAGTAATCGTGATACATAATTCATGTAATTTTAAAATTGAATTTCATCTTTTATATTTTTAAGGTGAGGTGGTGTTTGATGTCGCCGGAGGGAGAGTTGGGTTTTCATTAAAAGTCCAATTTACTGGTGTTTACAATTTTTTTCATTATTATTTTCAGTCAATCAAAGCACATACATACTTTACTGTGTCAAATATACTGAAAGTCGAAATACAATTTTGAAAACAATAATATATAAATTGATGGCGGAAAAGATTGAATGAAAATTTTGGTTGACAAACCATCATTATCTAAGAGCACTCACAATGCTTTGGTCTCTTAGCAAAAAATCACATGTCATGTAAGAAATAGACCTAGTCTATAGAAAAAATGTTTCACAATCTATATCTATACTACTCTAAAAGGACGAGTGTTTTTGTAAAAATATGAACTACCTAAAATAACCTTACTTTGACATATTTTTAATGGCAAATTAGTAATACACTAATACATATTTTATTTTATATTTTTAATTAAAAATGAATTACCTAAAAAACCCTTACTTTAACATGTTTTTAATGACAAATTAATAATACACTAATACCCATCATATCTTATATTTTTAATTAATAACAGATGCTTAATTAATTAAATACAAATACATGAACAATACATTTCACATATCCTAAAAATCAAACACAATATTCTTGCACCATTATTTTCTCACGAAATGGCTTTCTTCCACATATCTCCCCAAAATCAACCCAACATCTACCTAAACAACAATGTTTTGCAAAGATATAGAATTGTTGTATTAAAAAATCTTGTTTTTAATACAATTTTATACATTATCTGACAAATTAGAAAAGTTGAACAATTCATTTAGCTACTTCATTATTTAAGAAAAGTTAACTCTTATATTTAGAATTAGAATAGAAATTGCACTTTAGTCTTACTGGATTAAATTTTGATCCCACAAAAATCGTCATTTATTTGTTTGTTTGTTTTTTCTAATTTTAGTTACAAAGTGAATGAAATTAACGAATTTTCACTTGACCATTAGATGGTTAATATCACGGTGAGTAATATTTTAGTTATTAACACTTAAAACATATGAATTTTACATTCAAGAATTAAGTAAAATATATCATGAGATTTTAATTATTATTATTATTTTATTTGAGCCACTGATTTTCAAGATGTGCGCTAAATAAAAGAACAATATGAAAGTAAAAAATTATTAAATTTGATGAATAACATTAAAAATATAATTAAGTAGTAAGACTTACAAATAAATATGAAAACAAATAATAAATAAAAATATTATAATTAATAAAAATAAATATAAAACTTTTAAAACTTATACTTATCGATGTAAATGAATAGAATTGTTTATTTCTTTTTAATTTTTTATTAGTTCTATGTGTAAATTTAGGTGATACATAATAGTTATTTGTATTTTTATCCATGTAGGTTGGAAATTTTAATATTAAGAAAAAATTATTATTTTAATTTTAGATATCCTTTTATTTGATATCAGTTTTTTTAATATAATATATAAATATCATATTACAATATAAAATAATAATTATTTTTGTTATTTAATATTTAATATGTAAAAGGTTATAATTCAATTGAGAAATTAATAGATAGTCTTAAGTTAAAATAACGAGTGATTTTTAAAAAGTTATATAGACTAAAAAGTTCATGTGTTTAACATATTTTTAATAAAAACAATTGTAAACGCAATTAATTAATAAAAAAACTACAACATAAAAATTGTAATGCTTAAAAGGAAATGCAATAAATAAAATTCTATATTGCAATGAAAAATCCAACGATAAGGTGTTCCACTAAAAATTTCAAAGGATATTTCATTTGCATAGCATTCATTGGAAAATATCACTAGCTAATCCAACATAGATCAAATTAAATTGTAATGGAATTTTAGTGGATTTAATGATTCGAATTACCATTATTTATTGTTGTGTGAATTCATTTGATTTTTGTTTTCGGAACATATTTCTACCGTTGGAAAATTTTTTCATTGGAATTGTAAAAAAATCAATAAAAGTTGCATTGGAAAGTTAATTGCAGTGGTAGATACAAATAATTTTATATTGGGAGCACTATTTAGCTAATAGAAAAAATATACCATCAAAATAACATAATGTCATTACAATATATAAATTATACTTTCATAATTTGTCATCTTTCTAATCTGTAATACATGTTTAGCAAATTACAATAAGTTAAAAGTATTTACAAAAAAACATAATTTTTCTCAACTAAAAATAAGTGAATCATTGAAAATAATGTATCTTTTAAAATCTGATGAACAAAAAATCTATGTTGTAGTATAGATGACTCGACAATATTATTGGTTGATTTATAAATTATGGCTAATTGATTATAATATTAATTAAAAAATTGTAATTATATATAATATAATATTAATATACAAATAGATAATATTTAACACCTGTGACCGAAATAATATATTCTTTAAAAATCTTATGAGCAAAACATCTATGTTGTAGTATAGTTGACTCAACAATAGTGTTGATGAATTTATAAATTATGAATAATTGTATAATATTAAAGAGAAAATTGTAATTGTATATAATATAATATTAAGATATACAAATAATTGATATATTAACGCATATGACCAAAAAAGTTCTATACATAATATTATGAATTTTTAAGCAAAAACAAAAGTTAAAAACATATGAAAGAACAATATAAAATAAAAAAATATTAGATCTGACAAATGCTATTAAAAATTACTAAGTTGTAACACGTACTAATAAATATTAAAAAAAATAAATAAATATGTTATGATTAATAAAAGTAAACATAAACATTTTAAAACTTATATTTATCGATGTAAACGAGCAGGGTTATTAAATGTTTTTTAATTTTTGTACTTATTAATTCTATATGTAAGTTTTAGGTGATATACAATAGTTATTTTTACCTTTATCCATGTAGGTTAGAAAAAAAAAACACTGGATTATTCTAATTTTAAATTACTTTTTATTTGCTATTAGCTTTTTACATATAATATATATATCATATTAAATATATAAATAATAATTATTTTAATTATTTCAACAGAGATCAAATTAAATTACATTGAAAATTTTGTGGATTAAATAATTTCAATTACTATAATTTATTATTGTTTGAATTTCTGTTGAATTTTTTTACGGATCATGTTTCAATTGTTGAAAAAACTGTCATTGAAATTGTAAAAAATTTAATAGAAGTACCATTGGAAAACTAATTACAGTGGGGGATCCAGAATAATTTTATATTGGGGCACTATATAGTTAATAGAAAAAATATACTATCAAAATAACATAATGCCATTACAATTTATAAATTATATTTTACATAATTTGTCATGTTTCTCACTTGTAATACATTCTAACACATTAGTACAATCACAATAAGTTAAAAAATATTTAATAAAAAAAAATGACGATTTTTCTCAATTCAACATAAGAAAATCATTGAAAATAATATTTTTTTTAAAAAAAAATTATAAACAAAAAATCTATATTGTAGTATAGTTGACTCGGCAATACAGTTGATGAATTTATAAATTATGAATATATAACTATAATTCCCCTTGCATTAGTTAAAAAGACATAAAAAATATATTATGAAAATATAAAAAAAAATATGTTGCAAAAGAGAGATTTGAAACTATCATCAATATGGTTCATTTACATTTAATTGAATTCAAAAATGCCTTTTAAAATAAGAATAGAAAAGTCTATATCGTATATCAGATAAAAAATTTGAAAACTTGGCGTGAACTAGCGAATCATTATGGTATTATATTGTACTGATGCAATTATTCATGATAATAACATGTATAGATAATTTTGGTATATAAATGAATAAACTGGTCTCAACTATTGGGTCGTAATTTTGAGATTTATTATTTTTTTTTGATTGTGATGTCGCGTTTATGTTATAACATTAATAAAGTTATGAGTTGAATTAAATTATAATTGGTTGAGTTGTAAAATAATTCATTATATATCTTTTTTTCTTTTAATTTCTTTTTTAAAATAGGAGACATGATAAAAATTATGAAAAAATGTTCCCACAATTTTTATTAGATTTCTTACGCTATATGCTTTGGGATGGAGGGCTGTGCCGGACCTATAAATAAACATATATCTGCTCATGATTGCAATAAAATATTTTTTTCTAGAATTATATTGGAAAAATCAAACGGGAGTAATAATATTGAAATATTCGTTAGAATTTCAATGAATTCCCTTGTAATATATATATATATATATATATATATATATATATATTTTGAAATTTTCGTTGGAACTTTCTCATTTTCTTGTAGTAAAGGTAGGGCTCCAAATCAATAAGAAAAATTTGCATTATACATAATATTTTATACAACTATTTATTATGAAAATTGTTGATAATGATAGACAATATAACACATTCAATCTGATTATCATTTAATTTATGGTAGTTAGTAAACGATTTCAAACAAACAAGATACATCTAGGTCAAAAAGTGTTTGATTGTTTTATTAGTATTATAATAGCTAAACAAGGGGTAAGAATGATGAGAAAACTTATAGCTCGCATTAAATTTGAAAGTAAAAAAATTGATAAAATTAATTAATGTCCTATATCAATTGAAGCTAGGTAATGAGAAATATCAAACATACTTAATATGCACATTTATTTTAACTTGAACTTTTAATTTCACAAAAAAAATATTTTTTTTTGCATTAAAATTCACTATGTTAGTTTTAAATTCTTTTAATTAAAAATTTAATTACTTTCTACCATTAATTTTTCAATTTTAAAATACTTAATATTTTTTCATTTGTTATCCTTCTATATGTAATATATCACATCATTTATTTCC